ACTCATCCTAATGATATCGCGAGAATCCAGTGGAGATGAAGTCGTAGATATCGATTTGTTATGCAACACCATGAATCGGTCTACTTCAAATTGTTTAGCACGAGGTGAAGAAAATTTTCCACAGGAAAGAATCTTCACAAAAGTGAAGATTTCTTCATGTAACTCACATTCAAGACCTAGAAAGCAAGGATCAAATAAATATTTCTCACTCTCTAGGCCAAAATTGCCTCAACACATTCATCAAGAGTTGAAGCTATCAAATAACCTCAAGATTGTCACTACCCCAACACATAGGTATGCACCAAGATTTTGGGAAGGCCTCTCAAGGATTCACAAGGGAGACAAAAAGCTCCTAACTTATAGGAATCCCACTAGTACAAATGCTATCATATCTTCTCTAAAACAAAACCAAGAGGTTGGCTAGGAAGAAAAGATGAAGGTATGAAAATTCTCACTAATGTGGTGGTTGATGATGTGTTCTCTGAACTTGTCCAAGCTCCTTCGAGGTGAGGATAACAAAGTCACCACTCTCCTTCTCCCAAAGTGGTGAAGAAGCTCTTATTGTCATATATGACAAAGAAATTAATGATTTTCTCCTTCTCTAAATACAGGAAGAAGCTCTCTAGATCTCAACTTATAGAGAGTTATGAGAGAAGAAGTAAAAGATGGAGATGTGGAAAAAAAAAGGAAGAAGAAGGAAAAGTAGGAGCAAATACGTTCCCTTGACTTCTCGTTGATTAAGATGGCAGTTCTCCTCCCAAACTCTCCTTTGCTCCCTTGCAGATTAAGATGCTTAAGATGGCAATTCTCCTCCCAAACTCTCGTTGATTAAGATGGCAGATTAGGATGCTCCCCTCTGCTCAACTGATATAAAAAATTGCTTCTTTTATTTTTTTCTCTTGATCTTCCTCAAATAGAGATTTCTCTTGGTTTCCCTGCTATAAATGACCCTTTGCTTCATAAGGCATGGGCTTAGGTTACTTCCCATGACATTTTAGGCTTAAAACCACATAATGAGCGGCTTACCTGGTAATTAGATGGCGTCGTCGGCAGATATCAGGGGACCATGATCCCAAATTTTTATATGTAAGGATTTATGAAGTTGACACCACTACAACGCCAAAAACTTTATCCTTATATGAAAAGTAAGTTGTGTAAAATATATATAATTATAGTCAATTAATAATGAGATTCTACGCAAATATACATATCGTTATCAAGTAATAATAGACTTTCTATTGAAGCCCCAAATATCAATCCCACAGGGAAGGTGTAAGTTAGCAATGATAAATTTTAACAGGAAATTTACAGAAAATCAAACGAAATCACTGTTACTAATTTTGAATGTTGAGATATTAACCAAACTAAATTAGTTAACTATTAGCAAAAACGGAAATGCAACTTTTAAATATTAAATACTAATCTAAGAACTATGTTTAGGTAATAAAGATTTCTTATGTGAAAAAGCATACTTCCCACTACAATGAAATCCTGGTGAAATGAGATGAGCTAAATGCTTTTAATATGTATTGTGCCAAATATGAACAATTTTAATACTCTACGCTGACACAGTGCATATAAAATCATTGGTTAATCTTAGGTTTAGTCCATAAATCCGTGACTAGGCTAGGAAGAAACTGACTCCCACTTCCCTTCACCTGAAGTCTAACTCTCGCTTTAGTTTTTAAACACTAAGACCAAATTGGGGATTTTAGTCTATCACCCTAAAGATTCTCCAATTTTACACCCAACAAAGAATACTTTACTATTTATTTGCACCTAATTTCATGAACAAATTTCTCCTTTATGAAATCAAATGTGATCCTCACTCTATTGTAGAACTCATACTCCATTTCCCGGATCATATGTTTCACAACATATTTTAACAAATCAATTGGCCAGACAGAAAAGTAAATCAAGTTCGGAGTTGAAAAATCATTACAATTTATTTTATATTTTAATTATGACACATTCATTTTATCTCTTCATTTAACCATATCTCAGAGTAGGGGGAAAGATAGGGAACTACTCAGACTTCATGAGAAAGATACGACAAAAAACAAATTTCATATATAATATAAAGTTCATACAACACTAAATAAATAAACAAACTTATCTAGAATTCTTTCTCAAAGCAAATCCTTTGTAGTCTTTCCTTAGAAATGCGGGAAGAGGAATTCTCTCACTTTTCTCCTTCTCCAACACTCTTATGGAAAGTTTCACACTAAATCTCACCACAAAAACTCTAAAATATGAAAGAAAAATAAAAAATTGACTCTAGTATGGTAGTGGAATGGAATGATGTGGTGCAAAAAATGAACGTAGAGGAGTGAAAAATGTAGAGAAGGGAAAAACGTATAGGAGCGAAAAACCTAGAGGAGCAAAAAAACGTAGAGGGGCACTTTTTCTGATGAAATTCAGCCCCAAATAGAGCCCAAGGTTGGTTCTCCAAGAGGTGCCTCCAACAAATCTTCAAAAAATCATCAAAATACATCAAACCTTCTAGAAACGGGGTCTGCACCACCTTTGGCGCCATCGACACTGGTCTGGCGCCGTCGGCGCTGAGTAAAAATCTCCAGCGTTAAACTGTTCTGAGCCGTCGGCGGTGCTGGTGCTGAGCATTTCTTGAAAAACTTAATTTTGACTCTAAATTTCATCCTTTTTGCTTTCCTTTTGCTTTATGCCCTAAAAATCAACAACCTGCGAGAAAGCATCAAAATACCTTCCATTAAAGTGCAATATCACCAAAAATGATTATAAAATATGGGTCTAAAAATGCATATATTTTAGGTGTATCAGACCACAACGTAAAAATTGTGAACCAGGCAAACTAGGATGAACACACCCAGAATTGGGTGTAGTCACGCCCCTGTTAAAGGTGTTGCAGATGGGCTCTTGGCATGGTCACAACAATTCCCAACATAATTAAATTGGGTGCTCTATTAGGCCAATGTGGCTACACCACTTTGGGTTTGGTCACACCCGAAGGAAAGCATTGCGTTCTATGTAAGGATTAGGTGTGGTCATTGCTGCCCTCCGATATAATTGTGCTAGTGGCTTTGTCTAGCCGGCGTGGCCAAGCCAACTTCCGGTGTGGTCACGCTTGAAGAAAGAAGTCGTGGCCCCTTTGGGGCTCGGGCATGGCCACGGTAAGAGCTAGGCATGGTCACACTTACTCATGGCGTGGTCACGTCGGGATCTTAGGCATTTTTTACCTCCAAAATTTTTTTAGAATGGTTTTATGGCTCGTTCGAGCCCCCAGAAGCCCCGCATTTCTGATGAGCTCTAGACATCATATTGGCCATCGGGCTCGCCTGATATTGGGGAATTGATGTAAACCAATGGTAGCCTCTTTTAAGCAGGACCATAATGGGAATGAACCTTAATTTGGTGTAGTATATGCTTTCTAAAAGCTCTTCAGACTCTTTGAGTGCCAAAATTCTACATAAGAACGTAATATGATCTTGTATCACCTAAAGGAACATCTAGAGTGTTGCATTAAAAATGGATGCCAACATGTACCTCAAACATATCTTTTTGAAATCTAGTTATAAACGTGTGAAACAACTATCCTTGGCACTGTCATAGTTGCAACAGAGACTAAGAGTATTTTCATAGTTTTGGGGGACTGAAAATGTGTGTCATAAACATCCTCTTGAAATCCATAAATGAGGTAATTGCTTCAGGTGGCAGACTATTGAACCATTAGAGCACTAATTCCTTTAGGTTCATGAAGAAAAGTTGACGCTTTATTGTGTCTTTTACCCTTAATGACTATTGACTCAAAAGAGGCAACGTTATTATTTAGAACGATCTTCTCACGATATGATTCTAGAGTTGGGATTTTTAATAGTCCAAGTGCTTCAACTTTAGCAATCTATCTAGAAATAGCATTTTTCGGGGTTGTTCACCGTGCTTTCGCGCGCCTTTGTCTATCCCGATCGTGAGATGAAGATCCATCACTATCTAGATGATGTCTTATCACTCTTGCTTGATGTCATGCAGGATACTCTTTCTACATTTGGACAGTATCTCTAACGTGTGGAAGTCGTCGACTGGGGTAGTGGAATTGTTCCTTGTTGGAGCATAACCCTAATCATCTCCCATATTTGATCCTAAGTTCTTAGATTTGTTTGGTCACTAAGTTTTTGGTGCACTCCATGTTGTGTGCATTCTCACGAATACATTTCTCCTCTTGCATTGCTCTTATGCATGACTCCATGCTCACCTATTTTTTTAAGGTTGTTAAACCCAAATTTGTCCAAGAAACACACCCAAGGCATAGAAAATGCATAAGAAAATACAAGAGCAAATTTATGAGAAAAAAGAGATTCTCTCAATTTTGACAAAGAATTCTTAATAGAGTCCACAGGTTCTCTTTTTTGTTATATATTACCTCATATTTATAGGAATTCAACCCAGATTTGTCCTATAATCATACCTTAGTAGTAGAACATGTGCGAGGATTGAAAAGAGGAATTATATGAGAAAAAAGAGATTCACAAAGTTTTGAAAGAGTTCCTTTATGGTCATTACTTCACTTAATAACTACCAGTTTCTATGCATATGTATGCATCGTGGGATATTGAGTGTTTCTCCCTGTTCTACTTGAACTGCCACACCTTAACATAGGATTACCGGATCATGAACCATAGTTTTGTTAACTTGGCGTCATGCTCCCGTCCTGGGTCAATCCATCAAGGTGTCTTGATGTGTAAGCTAGTTTTGTATGAGAGATCTGAGTTAATCACTCGCAACTAGAGCATGGTCGCCTGAGTTGAGGTTCGCTCTCCTCCAATCCAAGTTTAATTGCAATCCAAGTTTAATGAGACAATACATAAGAATTGTGTGGTATGTATGTATATGCCTTTAAAAAAATCATACAATCCAAGTTTAATTGCAATAATCTCGTAGATCTAGCCAACTTCATAAAACAAAAAAGAAAAAAAAAATGTATATGAAATTCGAAAAAAAACAATAGTTCATCTGCAATAATCTGAAAAAAAAATCACCTTTTTTATTGTACAACAAGAGCAAGACTGATCTCCTTTTGAAACCACAAGCAGTCCACATTACAAAACTATGCGCCTCAACAAGCCCCCAATGTCTGCTCACTTTGAAAAAATCCATCATCTCCATCACCCATAAAAAAAAATAATAATAATACATAATCCACAAATTACCAGAGGATAATTATTTCTAATTTACACTTCGATAGATATAAACCTAAGAAATTATCTCCAGCTCCGCCCACCACAGAGGGGAAAGCTTTGGGCTAGCTGCATCCAGAGAAATCTTAGTTATCTGCCTCAGCTGTGCCACAACATCCCCCATTTTCGGTCTCTCAATTGGTTCAGGATTCACACATGACTGTATCACCTTACAAAGGGGGCCTATATCTTCCTCACTCACCGATTCGATGGTCTGATCAACAATGCCATTAATGGGTCTCTTCCCTGTCAAGTGGCTTGAGGCCCAAAGCACCAGCAGGCCATCATCCTTAGAAAAAGGTACTCTTCCAGATATTAGTTCAAGAAGTATTATTCCAAACTTATAAACAATTTCCTCATGAGATAATGGCGACTGTAAGTCATCATTGCTTTGATCAGACGAACTGGTATCCTTTATTTCATTCCAGAATGGGAGATCAGATACCTTGGCGGCATAGTCTTCAGTTAGGTAGATGGTGGATGAATTCAAGGCTCTGAAAGTGATGGGAGGGTCGAGACGAAGAAAGTGGTCCAAGCAATATGATATTCCCATTGCGATGCGTAATCGGGTCGTCCAATCTAAGGGCTCTGCTTCTTTTACTGCGAGCAACGTTCAGCTTGAGTATAGGTGGATAAAAATAAGGAAAAGTGTGCAGAAATAAAAAGCAGGAGCTCAATTTTTGGAAGTTTTGTAGAAAATGAACGAGAGAAGTCTCAAAATGTTCCTGATTCTTTGTACAGATCCATCGTTAACCCCCAACTACGTAAAAATTCGCATATTCATTCAAAAACACTTGGGCCATGGCTAAGTTTAAGGTCAACTTTATGACTGTAACCAAGGCGGATTATTACTTAATCAACCATCTTTTTCTCGTAATTAAGATCAGATTGATAAACTTACTATGAAGATGTTCAAAAAGTGTCCCATTTGGAGCATATTCGTAAACCATCATTCGAGCAAAAGGCTCCTGTTCCTCGCAAAATCCAATAAGGTTCAGAAAGTTCTTGTGGTTCACTGTCGACAGAACTGAGATCTGAACTGATTAAATATTAATCAATATACGGTGGTTGGAAACAGCACATCCACGAAATATATTTGCACAAAATAAATAATATAGATTTACTAGCCTTATTCCTAAACAAAGCTTCATGTTTATCCGACCAATCTTTTGCAGTCTTGATCATGGTAGAGGTCACTGCTATTTCTACTCCACTTGACAGCGTTCCTTTGTACAGTGTGCAATCTGATAAAGAATCAATAACATTGCTGAAATCCTCGCAAGCTGTTTGAAGCTCGGACCTCTCCAGAGAAGGTACGCCTGTGATAGAAGCTTCAATATAAGCACACAAGACTTGAATCATGCGAACGAAACATTCCAGAATGAGACTCACCTGTAACTAATGCTTTCTGCAACTTTCCACTCAAGCCAGTTTGACAAGAATTTGCGGTATCAACCTTGACAGTACGACAGCAGATAAAGTACACAGAAGATAACGAAAAAAGTGCGAAAGCTCCGGCTCCGACTGTAATATAGATTGGCCGGTGATTCTCCTCTTTTCCAGGTGACGGAGGTAGTGCTGAGTTGGATGGATGTGGCGATCCATGATTGACTGGAAAATGGGAATGGGAGGATGGGGGAGACTGCAAATTTGATGCCGAAGGTTTCGGAGTTGATGATGGTGATGGCGAAGTTATGGGTGCTGGAGATGGAGCAGATGTGATGTTTCTCCTGTGAAGGCCCCCGTGCTTATGAGGTTTTAATTTACCTCTGTTGATTTGTTGCAGAAGTCTTCGTGTCGGTTGGTTCACAACTTTTCTATAAACATAAAGAGAAAATATTGTAATAAGAACAATCATCACTGTTAACTAATTTCTTAATATGGGTTTCTTTTCCAAAAAAAAAATTAAAGATTTACATGCATGGGCAGACAATTCTTATGTATTTACTTACATATCTCACACCTAAACTTTCATATGTACATACATAGCACTCAAATCTTTAATATCACATAAAAAATAGAACTATGACCACTTTTAAAAAGTTAAATACACATTTTTCATGCATAGGTTTAAAGCACCACCAAAATGCTATTTATGTAAATATGAAAGTTCAGGTGTGAGATACCTAAATAGTAAATACATAAAAATTGGGTACTACATATGTAAATTTTCCAAAAATAAAAGGACTACCAATTGCATAAAAGATCCATAAATGAGTGAAAATAAAATTTCCCATTAAATGATGTATAGAAGCAGGTTTATGACCTCATAACAGATCCCTTCCTGGAAGATGACCTCTCTTCATCTCCTCCAATCTCAGAAAGCATATTGAGCTCAAAAAATTTTGGCGAGATATCCTTTATGAACCTGTTATTTTTTAGCACACTGAAACATGTACAAAATAGTGTTAAGTGTGATGGAGAGAAAAACAGTCAAAATTGAAAATGTAATATTGTGTACTTACAGTAGTTTTAGGGATTCGATTCGAATAAGGAAATGTGGAAATGGTCCACTGAGATTATTGTGTCCCAGGTCTAAAACTTCTAGTTTCAACAATTTACTTAATTCTTTAGGTATGCCTCCAGAAAATGAATTATTCCGCAAAATACTGGATGACCAAGAAGAAAAATTTGCATAAGCATTGAAAGAGTTTTAATACAGGAGCAGGGGTAGCAAAAGATACTTGGTATTCTAGGAAAGTAAGGGCAGAAAAATTGAAATTATACAATATGGCTTTTTCCAAATAATACTTATTAAAAAATTACATTTTGTACAAAAAATCAACTCCTTATTCTCTTGGTTGTATTCCAAACCTAACATTTCAAGTTGATAATGTACTGGTGGTTGGCTAGTAGAGACCATGGATGCTAAAGTAATTGAGCCTAAAAGCTGGTGCTGTGACATGTGTGGTATAACATTTGAGAAAATTTTTAGGGAAATTGGTGGTGGTAGAGAAAGGATTGGCTGATCATCCCCGCTGTATGAACCTTGATTGTTTTCACGCGCATATAAATGTTATTAGGATTTTGTAACAATGCCATTGGAGTTGTACCTATTTTTTTGAAATAGTTTTTTTTTTTCTCCTCCTCCTCTAATTGTGCTTTTTTACCCTGCCTAGGGTTTTCCACGTAATTTGTTGAAATAATGATTTGTGTTTTGTGGCTTATTCTCCGTTGTTATTATTTCATTAACCGTAAAATTCCCTTTTCTTATCAATGAGAATTATTGAAAGCGCCAAATTATCACATAAAGGAGTAAGATTGACAAGATAAGCATAAGACTCAAAGATGACGAATCAAATAAATATCCTAATTAAAATTTTAGATTCTCTACCAACAAAAGAAAGAAAAAAATTCATATGTTGATATAAGATGCACTAAGCTATTTCAAACCAAACTTTAGATATGTTTTAAAAAGTCTTTATTGCATATTAATTATTATTGACATCTATAATCTAATATTGAAAAACATAATCATAACTCATAAAACTCATAAGTTTCTCTAATACTAAAAGAAAGCAAATTCCCTAAAATTTTAGGGACAGCTATAACTCTAAAACAAAAGTTGAAGAGCTATGAAAATATTTATTTTATATGCAATAAATATTAAATTAAGCAAAACGTGGTACCACAAACTTAAAATTGCTTACAGTGACTTCAAGTGAATAAGTCTCGCAAGCTCTGAAGTAAGTATCCCTTGAAGAAAAAGATCTCTCAAGTTCCTAAAAGAGAGAAGAAAACAATTTTGTAAAAAACAAATAGAACAGTATAGAAAGTGAAAGGAGTGCTAAATGTATAAGAGACATGGGAATGGAGGTCTGGGGAAGAATAACTGAAACTATGTTCATTTTTTTTAAAGATTTACATGCCTGCCACTTAATTCCCCATGTTTTTATGTATCTAACACCTAAACTTCAATTTTTACATATCGGCCACCTTACCTATGCATGAAAAGTTGTATTTCACATTTTAAAAATAAAATAAGTGATATTTTTATGATATGAAAGAATTGGGTGGTATAATCTAAAAAGTACAATTCAGGTGTTGGATATGTAAATGCATAAGTATGTATGTAGATGCCCCTATTTTTTTGGAAGATTAGAAGGGATGAAAAATTCTAGTTAAAACAAAACGGAATAGATTTCCAATTACATTTGTAAATTCAGTAGTTTATGTATTGAAGTATTAAAACATGCTCTTCCAATTTTCAAACTACTGCAAAGTCAGATATCGAAAATCCTTTACAGGCTTACCTTTATTAATATGAAAATTAGACTTCTAAATCCTTTAATTGAACACTCGGCTATCTTTAAAAATAGGGACATTTACATACATACCATCCAATTCTTATGTATTTACATATCTAAAACCGAAACTTTGCTTTTCTATATTTATACCCCTAAAATTTTTCATATAAAAAAAATAAATATTTAACTTTTAAAAAGTGGAAGATACCTGTTCATGCATAGTTAAGATGATATATATGGAAAAATTAAATATATGAGAATTGGGTGGTATGTATGTAATTCTTCCTTAAAGATAATGTAATTTGATTCTATGTCTCAATGTAGATATAAATATCCACAAACTGAAAAACTTGAACTTATCACAGCACCAATTCATGACTAGGCTCAAGTGCTATCATATACAAGGAAAAATACCACCAACTAGCTATCACTTTGATAATAGAAACATAGACATATTAAGATGGAATGAAATTTAAATAAAATGGTATGAAATCTAAACTAAGTGTCAGCATGGTAAATGTGAAAAAACAAATTCCTGCAAAAAATGAACTATGATGTAAAGTAACTTTACATCAAACAAAATGGCAACAAAAAAAAAAAAAAAAAAAAAAAAAAAAAAACAAAAATATTAAATTACAAGAGCATTATTTGATTCAACCTCCTTAGCTTCCAACCAATGTGCTACGCACTCCAGTACTAATATAAAACTTATATTAGGACAGATTTGAAAATTTACTTGGAGATCCATGTGATACAACTTGTATCATAATATCGCGACACAATTCTTTTCAAGCATACATCTAACCTATGCTGTGCAAAATCTGATAGTTTTCCTAAGTACTGCAGTTACTGCTGTAAGAATCAGTAAGCGAAAGGGAATTCAGATCAAAGAAACCACTTATTTGAGCGGAATCCATCCATTTATTCAGGTAATTCGGATCAAATTCTAAAATCAAGCAGCAATTACCAGAAAAGATCCCCTTGTATTAATCGAAAGCTACATGTCTACAACGTAATTTGATCACGAGAAGAAAGATTGCTCACAGAGAAACTGCCTTCCCATCATCAGAGCACTCTACTCCAAACCAAAAGCAGTGATCAACCCCGCTTCTCCCCCAGTTCGCGAGAGCTCCATAGGGGTCCACCTCCACCCCCTCCCTAAAGCTCATTAGAGCCCTGCCTGCTCACAAAGAAAAAGGGCGTCAAATCCTGCATAAAACCCTAACCATTAAACATAAAATCATTCAGTCCGCGAGAGAAAGATTCAGCTTCCACACCTTCGGCATCTAGAGAATTGCAGGCACACAGCCTCCGGCACGATAAAGTAATCAGCAACAGCAGGAAGGAATCCAACCTCAGCCTCCACTTCTCCATCCTCTCCATTCTCCACAAAACAAACAATAACAGACCGATGTATCTCTTCCACTCTTTTTCCAATAATCAGACCCCTGATCTTTCGCGGCTTCTTTCGAGTTTCGGCAAATGGAGGGATTTCTTTTTCCTCCGATTGACAAAACAAAGACGGAGGAGGTCGTTTTGGAGAGTTGTAGGGCAAGCTGGCAAAGGGAATCTGGGAAAGGCAAGAAGTTAAAGAGAAGCGTTAATGGAGGTTTCCAATCCTTCAATTTGGAAGAACTCACCCAGTGACAAATGACTGCTTCAGGGCTCGTTTTGTTACTCCTATAATCCTATTGCCGTTCGATCTCATCTGCTACTTGTCGCGTTTAAATTTCCGAGAAGGGTAATTTTATGCAAAAAAGTAAAAAACAAAGGGAATTTACTAGCTTTTTGACATATAAATATTACAAAAAATTACATAAACATGACTTTTTGTATTTATCAGCATATATTTTTATTTATAATATATTGGTGCATGAAAAGATGTATTTTACTTAAAAAAAAGTTATTATTTGTGATATTTTTTATGTTATTTTAAAGTTTAAACTATTATGTATGTAAATATTAAAGTTGATGTGTCAGATTAAATCTATACGAATTGTGTGATATGTTTCTAAATGCACCTAAAGTTTAACTAAGAGCACATACATATCACACGTAAATTTCTACGAATTCGTATATCTAATATTTAAAATTTAATTTTTTCATATATAATGAGAGGCGGAACCATGTTATATCCGAATCCCCCGACGCACCTCACTCATTTTTGCAATTTTTCTATATAAATAGTAAAATTTCATAATTATTTTCTTGGGTAGGTTAGTGATATTTTTATCTATTATGAATGTTTTTAATAATATGAATGTAAAAAATAAAATTTGGGTGTTAGATATGTTCATACATACATACAGTTTCGTGCAAAAAATTCAGAAAGAAAAATTTATATTTATATTTTAGCTGTCTGGTAAAATTCAACACACAGAGATAAAAAGAAGAGATCATAGAGGGAGAATAAGAGTTTTTACAAGAAAATCATGAAAGTGAATAAATTAGAGGACTAACTCAGTTAAATTGGTTTCACTCTTCAGATGTATGTTATAAGTAGGAGACATGCATCAATTTTACGTGAGTTTACCCATGTTTTTTACCTACATATTACAGACTATGTTTACAAATTTTATCATAGATTTACGCTTGAGAAATGCTTTCTATTGGTGCTGTGCAGATTGCAGGTGTTAATATAAAAAATTTGGAACGAGAAACCCAGCATGAACGAGAAACCCAACAAAAAAGTGACCTGAACCGACGTTACCACACCCAAAAGTGGTGTGACCACGTGTCCTATCGAAGATTTGTGTCGAACTCCAAATCAGGAAAGTATATTTTGTTTAATTTAATAAATATATTTTTGGAAAATAATATTTTAATTTTGAAAATTCGAAACCGAATCGATCTCATATAGACAGTAGTTTAAAAAAACGAGCACAACACTGCAAACAATGCATCTATCCCAAGGAATAAACATATTACTTATTAGTGAGGCTCGATTAAATAAATTAAGGAATTTATGACATTCGTTTTAGTCACTGAAACCATTTATGTTGACCGACAAATTCCTCTATCTAATACGAAAGATTAGATATGGTTTATATTAAGCTGAGTTCTAAAGTTTCTTATAAGAGCAAACCCATATAGTTAATTACATGTTAAATGACCGATGTTACTAAAGAAAACTCTCGATTTAGATAAAAAAAAATTGTCTGAAAAAATTTCAAAGGATAGGACTTTCAAGGTTAGGTAAAGAAGTATAAAATGAGAAAAGATCAAGTTTGAAACATTTATTATGGAATCCAAAGAGAAAAACTAAGGAATGCCACGAATCTGAGGAGAACCTCAGTGACTTCCCAAGCTATCTTATGATTTGACTTCAATTTTGAAGAGATTTTATTAAACATTTCATCCTGTCAATTATTATTAATTAGTGCTTACACTTGCATGACGTAATCATACAAAAAGCATGAAAGATAGGAGAATTTATGTCGTAACAAATGACGATCTCGGATCCTTATGATGATTTAGGGCTTAAATTGCACAAAATGATTGTGAATAAGCCTAAAGATAAGGTGAGGATTTATGTTGCACTTGGCAAACAACCTCAAAGCCCTATAACTTGTTATTTAAATTTAAAGAAAGATTGTTGTTGTAGATCCACTCACTCTCTTGAAGTTGTTCTTCTATAGCTTCTTATCATGTTGTCCACGAGGTTAGCTCCAAGCTCCTCGTCAAAGTGACAACTCTGGGTTCTAGGTTTAAGAAGTTTTACCATGTATGTTTCAATATTTTGATTTTGTTGTTATTCAAGCATTATGGGGGGGTTAAAGTTGATTAGAGCTACACCGATTATTATCCCATGGTTCAATCGTTATGGTACCACTATTTTCTCTTGAATTTACTTAGTTTAAATGATTTTTAAGCTCATTTAAATTCATAAGTTTTCGTTAGCAACCGTGAGTTACCTCATCCAAGAGACTCCCGTAAATTTAAAAGGACGTGTTATGTTGTCGTTTTTTTGAAAAAGATGTTGTTTTCATTTTAAAAACATGATTTTTTTTGTAATTTTCACTTTTGGTATTGTTTTGCTGGAAAAGTAGATAAATGCAGGTAAGAAAATGTTGTAAAGTAACAAAGTAAAATTGCATTGCATAAAATATAAATGCGTACCGGCCTCTGCTACCACTACATGATTAGCATCATAAAACATAATATATGTGCAGGAAAATTAAATAATTTGCAGGAAAGTAAACGGAAGCATTCGATACAAGGAAAAGTAGGAAAATGAGTCGTAGCAAAACAACAAGTAAAAGAAAACCCGTAGTCACATATGGAAGACTAGGACTGAGTGTATGACATTTGCAAACGTGGGGGCTCAGAGCTGGACTGTGTTCTTCTGGATCTTAAGTGAGAGCTATGTCGGCACTATTTTTGGTGTGGGGTTTGCCCGTAAGAAGCTGTCGGTCATAGTGGACCTTTATAAGCATTCATTTTAAAATTAATTTTCATGCATATAAAATCTACTTCATCATGCAAAAGAGATTTTTGTTTAAAACATATTGTAGAGTGATGCAATCCACATGTTAATTACTTCGATCGAGCTAGAACTAGAAGCAACCTAAGAGTATCGGGGGCAATCACCTTCTCAAGATTCTTCGAATATTATCGCCAGTCCTTACCCTCTCCTTTTATCAAAGGTTCTCGAGGTTGGAGACATTATTCTAAATCTCACGTCGTATTCCTCATTTTAGCACACATTAACATTATCATCATTGCCTTAACCACCTAGATCTCAGACTTACACAAGCCCGATGATCCATATGTGGCAAAAATAAATATCCTCAATTGTTCACAAGGATTTAACTACCTTAGAGAAAACTGAAATCCTTGAGCATTGGGTCAATTAATATAGGATAAGTGGTATAAGGCATTTTTATTGATTTAGGTTAATTATCGGATCCCGAGGCATAACTTCGTGGGTCTCTAAAAGTTTTAATGAATAATTTCCTTAGACAAAGAATAATAAGTTCAGTTGTCCTTCAAAACATCCAAAAGATCATAAAAGTGTTCAGGGCATAACCCAAAACAACTTTTAGAACCCTTTAAACTGTTTCGAGTTCATTTGAACGTATTATATTATTCAATTGATCATTCGAAGTTAAATTTAGATTAAGTGGTTTAAATTAACTTCTCTACAATAAGGGTAAAAATGTAATTTATTAAATTGTTCAAGAGAAGTTACCTATTAACCCATTATGTTACAAACATCCAAGAGAGTTTAACATGATCAAAACTGCCAATTTAACCTTTGATTAATAATAATATTTAATTAGAGCATCAAAATCCCAAATTACCATTTTGTCCGTAGGGCCTTCCACTTCATAACTCATTAAATTGAACTTAAATGACTTTGAAATTTTTATGATACTCCACTCATGGATCAATTTAAATATTAGAGGAGAAATTATGATTTTTAAATTTTTATTTAATTTTTAATAATTATTTTAGCTCTAAAATAGAACTTTTTAATGTTAATTTATTTAATTAATCAAAGTAAAGTTTTTGTTCATGGAATAATTATTGGAGGTTCACATAAGGCCAGAGGACCACTTGGATAAAATTTCATGATTTTTTAAATTATATTTTAATCATTATATTAATTTTAGTGATTAATTAAAAAGAAATTATAATTTGATTCCAAAATATACCTTTTAAATTTTTATTAAGTTTTTCTAACTTAAGAGAACTTAGAGAAACAATATTTTCATTTTTGTAAATTTTACTTTATTTATTTGAATTATTTTATTGAAACAAATCAAGAAAAATACATTTTTAGCATTTAAAAATATATAAATAAATTAGAAAAAAAAAGAAAAATATTTTAAAGAATTCCAAGTGATCAAGGAACAGTTTGGAACATTTAAATGCATTTTCATATTTTAACAATTTTAAATTATTTTTATTTATTTTAAAATCCAAAAATAGCCCAAAAATGAACTATTTATTTTAATATAAAATTTATTTTTCCTAGATGTTCATAGTCACAATGAACACTTGAAACCACTTTTCATATTTTCTTAATTATAGTTTATTTATTATAATTATTTTAATGCAAAGAATCTTATTTTTCTTGAATAATAGACGTTAGTAGTTAAGTTAGTTCAAATGAGTTTAAAATTTTTGCAGTGAGTTAAAATACTCATTATTTATAGTGTGGAGCTATTTTTAAAATTTTTATGATTAAAATATATTTATTTAAATTTTTATGATTTAAAATGACTTAATTAGCTATAGTAATGTACATAATTATTTAAACTTATTTTATATTTGTTCTAAAGTCCTTTGACCACAGAGAACCTACCAAAATAAGTCCCATATTCTTTTGATTTATATTTTAATCTATATAATTATTTTAAACAAAAATAGGTAACTAGACTTGAAAATTAAGGCTTTTAGGGTTAGAGGTGTTCTGTGACTTTGGAAAAATCAGAGAACTCTCTAACCACATGCAAAATAAGCCCTCCAAATTTCAAGCCATGGTGATTAATATTTAATTAAATATAATTAAAATAATCACTAGAGCATTTAATTAATTAAAAATGAAATATATGGTAAATAATTTTTTGTTATTTTTGGTCCATAATATTTTCCTTTATTCACATAGTAAGAGAGTGTTTTTATTTTATTTTTATGATTTTTCTACACCAAGTTATGAAATTTTAAAGTTCCACTATTTA